AAAAAAAAAAAAAGAAAGTCATCAAAAAAATCTGAAAAAACGATATGTTATGGAGAAATATAAATTAAACAAGATTTGCCTGGCATTACATCCGAATTCCTGACCAAATTTGAAATAAAAATAAAATACGAAAAACAAATACTAATAATAAAATTAAATAAAAATAAAAAGAGAATTAAATTTAGTGAGTGCGCGAGCATGTTTTCGACACCGCCATCTGTGGCGATTTTTCATTTTTTTTTGGCATAGCTAAATGCCCTGAAAATTTACAGATGTGTACTTCACATAATCCAAAACCCACTAAAAAAGTTTCAAAAAATAACAAAATTGTTTAGACCCCGAACTAAAGTGAAAACAAAAAGTAAAAAGTGAAAAAATACGTGGGCGAGCACGTTTTGACTCCGCCATCTCTGGCGATTTTTAATTCTTATTTGGCTTAGCCAAATGACTTGAAAATTTACAGGCATGTACCTCACGTCATAGAGAACTCACAAAAACAAATTCAGAAAAACATAATTATTTTTAGGCCCCAAAATAATTTTTGGCGGGGGCTGAACGCCGTCGGTTTCGGACCCCGTACGGGACCCCGAACGCCCGTACGTACGGAGGTTTGCCCGGGGATCTCCGTATGTACGGGCTGGTGACCCTGCCGCCAATAGTTTTTTTTTTTTTTTTTTTTTTTTGTCTTTTGTGCATGTCGAGAGTAGTGCGGCGAGGCCCTTCCTCCGAACATAAGGGTCTGATCCCACCACTGCACTACGACTGTAGTCGTGAAAGAGCACCAAAAAGATGTCAGCGGCCGTGGCAGGACGAAAAAGAAAAATTGGATCCCACCAGGGCGACTTCTTCGGTGCTTTTCCTGGACCCGCGGCGGTTCTTTGTGGGCTGTTGCAGAGGGCGGACGTTTTCGCTAACTGAAATGCCACACAACAGTGTGGTCCACTAACATTCCTGATGCTGGAAACGGACGAAAGTGGAAAAAAAAAAAAAAAAAAAATGCTCCCTCTTTTTCGCTGCAGAGATGCCCTCACGGTCTACAGAAAAATTGTAGTAACTATTCTTGCACCCTTTGCGGACGCGCTGCCACCACACACCCAAACGAAAGTATGGCAAAATATTTCAGCGGCCGTGACAAAGTCGGAAAGTGGTGGGATTCGAAAACTACACTGTAACTTGGCTGTAGTCACGGTGTAGTGGTGGGATCAGACACTAAGGCACATTGGTTCTGAATGTGTACAAGCCATCTTTTCGGTTGGATGCGGTCATAATGAGGGTGCGTTGTGTTCGGGGGGAAGCCTACAGGACTTCCCTGAGACGTATCTGACCTGAATTTTACCACTACGTGGATGCATCTGACCGCAACTACGGGCCTCGCTGCATTACTCTCGAAATGCGCAAAACAAGAGTGAATCTTCCGCAACAATATGGAAAGATACACGGCCATGCTTTTTGTTTTTTGTGCATGTCGAGAGTAGTGCGGTGAGGCCCTACGTCTATAGCTTACTCCAAAAAGTCGTCGTGTGAGTATGCTCCGAGCGACAATTGGCGCTGTGTGACAAAAGCTTGGTGCGACATAGGGCATCGCCACGAAACGAAAACGAAACGAGTGCATCTGCCCACAGAATGTGCCAACATACCACTCGTTACTATTTATAGCAAACCTATGAACTTGGCCATTTTCTGCGGGACGATGCACTCGTTTCGTTTTTCGTTTTGTGTGCCCTGCGGCGACGCCCATAGTCGTGACAGGTGGTAAGCCTTTCTCAGGATGTACTCTTTTTTCTTTTTTAGAGTGCTCTCTTGGGCGTAGTTTATACATGGAGAACGGGGCGCAATTTTCGGTCAGGTACATACAGATACATACAAAGCCCTTTCAAAAGCACAGGTCGGTAGTCTGAGTGGCAAGGACAAAGGGACGTTGAGTTCCATGTAGGCGCAAACGAGGCGTACGAATATGGGGCTCGCCACACCTATCCCCAAGACTCTTTTTTTTTGGAGAGCGCTCTCCAACGCAAAAGTTGGCGAAAATCCCTTCCGGAGGCGTCCTCGCCTCACTGCACTCTCCAAAGAATTTTTGGAGAGCGCTTTCCAACGCGGAAGTTGGCGAAAATCCCTTCGGGAGGTGTCGTCGCCACACTGCACTCTCCAAGGTAGAGCGAAATCTCGCACGCACAAGACCGGGATCCTCGACTGTATACATTACGCGACGGGGCTGGCGTGGTCCCAAGGCACCTCCACTGTGACGCGCAACCTCACGCCCTGCGCTGTTTTCTGTCCGGAGTGCTAAAGGTGCGAAAAAGAGGCCCCGAAAAAAACAGCAAGATGGGGTGTGCCAAGGATTTTTGGGAAATTGAGTGTGAGGACACAGACAGAACTGAAATCCCCCGTGTTGGTCTAATGAAGTGAACGATTTGGCGGGTTTCGATGCGTGCGGAATTTGCGACGTGGGGAAGTTTTGAATTCAATCTAAAAAGTATTGTCGGACTTCCCACCGGGCCGCGGCTCGTCGTTTGGAGTGGAAGGGAGCGGGCACGTGTTTAGTATCCTGTTTTCGCACTATCTCTCGATGCCGCACGCTACACAATTCGAAATCCGACATGGACGGTCTCAATCGCGTGGCCCTTTTCTTATGCTCGTCCTCATTCCATATTCGGTAATGGAACCCCTTCGAGTGGTAGTGATCGACACGTTGGCAATCACTCCACAAAGTGTTAGGCCAATGGGGTGCCACTGCCGATCACGGGATGATGATCAACTCGCTAAAGGGTAGTAGCAGTGAGTATGGCAGAAAGTGCGTATCCACAATAACAAATCCCGCGCCTATGAACCCAGACCACCGATTTTCAGGAGGGAAATAGTACTGCCCATCGATCTTTGCGACGACTTCCTGTATGTCCCACTCACAGATTCGCATCCTGTCCTTGTTATACGGGAAGGGGCGAAGAGGGGTTACGGGAGGTTGGCGCCTAGTCGGATAGATGCGGAG